TTCATTTTGATGGTCTTTCAGCAACTCCTCCACGTCTGCATCATCTACCTCTACTCTCAAACTCTTGCCAATGGACACGATTTCATGCACTACATCAGGAGAGCTCTCTTCTTCAAATTCCTAAAAGTTTTGCTCTGGGACACAAGTTGGCCAAAGTTTCCTCCAAGCCAATTGCAAAGTGCAGTGAGAGATGTCAATAAGGTTGATACAATGCAGGATGTTAAAATGCTCCTTCCAAAAAGCTCTAAGAGTTAAGACAGTATCATTGGTAACCTGAAAACACATGGTAAACAGTGCCTTGGTATACAGCTTTTTAAAATTGGAAATCACTTGCTGATCCATTGGTTGCAGTAATGGAGTTGTGTTGGGTGGAAGGAATTTGACCTTGATGAAGTCATGTTTACTATCCAAGTCGTCCTCCAAATTTGGTGGATGTGCTGGAGCATTAACCATTAAGAGAAGACATCTAAGAGGAAGATCCATTTCCTGAAGATAATTTTTAACAGTAGGAGCAAACACTTCTGTGGGCCAATCCGTGAATAAAGTCCGCGTTACCCATGCCTTACTATTTGCCTTCCATTGTATGGGCAGTTTGGACTTTATCACAATTTTGCTCTTAAAAGCACGGGGATTTTCAGCATTGTAGACTAAAAGTGGCTTGATTTTGAGGTCACTACTTGCATTAACGCAAAATAAAAGAGTGAGTCTGTCCTTCATGGGCTTGTGCCCGGGAAGTGCTTTCTCTTCTTGGGTTATGTACGTTTGTCTAGGCAGTCTCTTCCAAAAAAGACCGGTCTCATTGCAATTAAACACTTGATTCCAGACGTATCCTTCACTTTTTACAAACTCATGCTTTTGCTGCTTTTTCATCTGAACGTGAAGCCTGTCAAACCACCCTCGGCTCACTTTAAAGTCCTGCCTGTCTGCACTGGGTTGCTGGGTCAACAAGACATTGTATAAATTTTTAGCCTTTTCACAAATTATAGCTTCACTAACACTGTCTCCAGCAACAGTTTTTCAACTTCATCTAAAACTTTAGATCTTTGTTTCGATATCACATTCACTCCTTTAGTCACTTCGGCAGCCTTAAATGCTTTTTTGTTTTTAATAATTGTAGAGATAGTCGATTTTGCTACATTATATTCTTTAGCGATGTCAGAAACACAAATGACATTCTTGTATTTTGCAATAATTTCTTTAATGCTACACCAAAACGTTTTCTATTTCCACTGTCACTTTTCTCTTTCTTTGGTGCCATATTGATTAAATATACAGTATAAATAACAAAACTAAAAAACAAAGTTTAGCACACTTGAAAAAGCAATGCTTACCTCGCGCACGCCTAAGAGCAACTGAAATTTGAGGTTCCAGAACGGTTGGAAACTATTGGGTTGATGCAAAAATTTGTCCCGTTTTTAGTACCGGCTGGCTAAAAACACAATGCTGAAGTGTTATTTCCTTCACATGTGTAAAATTTTGATGATGTTTGACAAAAGGGATCTCAGCTAGTATTTGAGAATAAAGTTGTGTTACTTGTGTTTTTAAAATTTTGTTATTTTCTGCCATTTGTTAAGCATTACAAATGGCAGAAAATAAGGAGCATTTGACATATTAAGCTTTTTTATTTCGAAAACGGCAAGAATGCTTTGCAGACACAAAAAAAGATATGTTCTGTGTATGGTGAGGGAGCCATTGATGATTCCACGTGCGGTAAGTGGTTCAGAAAGTTTCGTGAAAGCAAGCTTATAAATTTGACACAAAATGCCATTAAGTTCTTTATCCAAGACAAAATTTTTGCAAAATAAAAGGTCGTTAACCGGGGTTCCACTGTGTGTGTTTAATAGATATTAGAGTCACTTTTTTCTCCTTCAAAAGATAGAAATTTAAATAAGCCTGATTCATATTTAAACTTTTAATTAAAAGTTGCTGAATTAATATTTTGAAAGAACAGTTGTTCTTGTCTAAAAAATTTCAAAAATTTATAACCATTATTCTCTTTTTATCATTGATAAATCTGAAAAAATTGAATCGATTAAATGTAATGTAACTTATTTACAATTAAAATAAAATATGAAATTAATTTTTATTTAATTATATTAAAAATTTTAGAAATGAAACATAATAAAATAATTTCTTTCTTTCTTTACAGAAAATCCTGAGGTTTCACAAATGGATACTTTATGCTATACTGCATACGTGATTTTCGTGATCTAAAGATGTAATTGTGATCCGGCATGTGATTTGTTTAAAAACATACTTTTAACAATCTGGTACTTTATTAGCAAAGTAGCAATCTAAGGACATTTTAAAAATGATTGTTGGTGTGATAAAAAAGTGCCATATATTTTTACATAAACGCACAAAATAGAGACTGATGTGATCCTAGTCCATACTTTATCCACTGTGTATATATATACTTAAATTTTCATGGACCATCATTATTTAGATGTGCAGTTAGGGAAAAATCAGGTATATGGACATTCACAAAATATATGCAGCCATTAAAATGAGTTTAATGGCTAAATCATTTAAGAAATAAATGTTATTTCCTTATACGATTATCCCTGATTCATTTCTTTAAGTTTATTTTGTTTTTTAAATTCTTGATTATATCATAATGATGTAATGAATTCATTCTGAGGTTATTTTTGCAAATATTTTTAAAATTTATGGGCAATAAAAATAATTTCTAAATTTGGATAACAATTATTTTCCTGTGATGGATTTTCTCACAAGTTACTCCAAACACAGTTCATTTTTTAGATATGCCACATTTGAAACAATAATAATTTGATCAATATAACAAAATCCCATTAACATTAAATAAGATATGACATTCAACTGCCTGATGACACATCCTTTGAAAAATGCTGTTAGTTAATCCTATAATGTTGCCACTGCATTATTGAATGGCACCCTGATCCATACGCTATAATGAAGTCATATTTGGTGATAAAAAGACAATGACTTGCAATAATGTGCAGGTTTAGTTGCTAATTGATAATGTTCCCGACTATCCTAAAGGAGCTTTGAAATTTAAATTACACTCCTTGACAGAAAAGATATTGGACAATTATCTGAGTGCATAGCATTGTGCTGAGTTTTGAAGCAGTGTCTCAGATAGGAATTTTAAATTATCACAATTATGGTCCAAGTATGGCCTTAAAATTCCTGGCATTCAGACTTGCTGTACAGTGCAGTCAAAGACATGCACAGTTGATGGAGTTTGAAAAAGGCCACATCATATAGCTGGTGAAGCAGGATGATCATTTTGGAGAATTGTTTGCTGTCTGGGCGGTTCTGAACTGACTGAAGAGGTGTTGGGAGCAATGGATATGTCAGGATATGTCAGGACATGTCACAAGAAGGTATTGGATGTCCCAGACAGACCACTAGAGTTGATCATCTGATTGTGTCACAAACATGAACAACTGAAACAGCATCTTCGTCCATCATACAGAGACATAAGCTTCCGTAGCAAGAATTCTCTCTTCCTGTACCATTAGCAGACAACAGAGGCAAATTAGTATGCATAGAGATCACTACACATCAATCAGCTTCATTTGCAGCAGTGTCATGACAGAAGCATAGGCTGCTAGTCTGTACAGTCTATGCTTCTGTCATGACACCACTGCAAATGAAGCTGATTGATGTGGTGCTAATCACCTTTAGCAATGAATCCTGGTTGTTTGGAAATTTGGAAACAAATAATGTTAGTATATAGGACCATTAATGCTTCAATCCCATCTGTACTTATCTTTACCCAATCATCATATAAGATGGTTCCCCCATACCCAAAAAATGGCTATAAGCAAGCAAATTCATCAAAGGAAGGAAGTACAGTACAAGGGACATATGATTACATTGCTGTCTGATTAGTGTTACCCTTCTTGGTAGTGCTGCAAACAGTTGAACATTATTTTGATGGAAAATGGCTAAGGTTTCTAGGAATTATTTTGTTACACAAGTTTTTGAACAAACTAATTTTCTCCCACAATACTCAATTGCTTATCAAAATATTGTTAGATGGAGTGCATTGTTAACTGCATTGAATAAGATAGCAATCCAATTAATGCAGCAGAAATTAATATTTTTCTGATTTAAAGCATGGGTAAGCACATTCTAAGTCTTTGTTGCAATTGTGCAAAACCAACTAGACATAAATGAACAGATCTCATTTCAGATTGTTTATTTTAAAATTTTAGTCAAAAATCAGATATTTAACAGTACAATTCTTTTTTTTAATCTTAATAAACTAAGTATTTAACATATAATACAATTCCCCACACAATTCAATGCTCAATCAAAATCATTAATAATTAAAAGAAATATTGAGAAGAAAAAGTTTAAATCACACCTTAAAACACTTTTTTGGAACTTGAAAAAAATAAAATGCTGAAGACTGCTAAATAATTTGATTTTCCAAACAGACTGAGTTCATTTTCTCCTTTTATCCTGTAAAAAAGAAGTTGACAAATTACAATTAAAAGAACAATGTTGAAAAAAAAATTAAAAGTCACTAGTTTTACATTCCATTCATATGTAAATTACCATACTAAAATGACAAACTGAGTGGTCCCTTCCACTGATATGAAATGATTTATTGTGCAGTATTAGAAACTCATTTGTTAAAAAACTTCTGGTCTCAAAAAAGGAAAACTTTTGTTTTGTATACCATAATATATTAAGATACACAGGATAATCATTAAAAAGATCTTTCTAGAGCTCCGAATACTTAACTATTAGGTCAAATCAAATTGATAAAACTTTTCCAGAAATCAAAAATCACATTAGTAAGTTCAGCCACTAAGGCAAAAAAGTCTCTCTGTCTCTTTAATGTGCATATTACATATTTTTTTCTAAACTGAGAATATAAAAAGGAATTCCAAACCACTTTGCAATTCTTCCACAGGCAAACAGCCATTGTGCTCACTTTGCCTAACTGCATCATTAGTTAAACTTTTCTAATAATGAAAACAAACAGTTTGGCACTAAAAAAAAAAGTTTATGAAGTCCTTCCTCTATTGGAAATTTTCATAAAATAATTGCATTTTCAAGAGAAACTTTTGCTGCAAAATCTGACTGAAAACAGTAGAGATTCTACTTTGTGCTGCTCCAGGTGAGCTACATTCTCCATTTCATAAATATTTGCAATAATTTTAAATGAATAAAAAAGGGTGGGAATATATTTTGACTGATATAAATGTAGTTTAGACCATGCGTGAACTAAGATGAACTCAATTTTAATAGCTATTGATTTACATAGTAACAAATTCTCACAAAACCATTTCTTGATGCAGTGCTGGAGGGTGGGGAAAAGTGGGACCAGCTTTGCTAACACCTGATTGAGGGAAGCATCGTCCATTAATATATAGGTACAGAAACTCACTGTTGCATCTCAACCTCGAGTGTTTGCAGCCTTTCATGTCTGTTTTTATGATAAACCCTTCTTAAAAACATTTTATTAGAAAAGCTGCCATCTGAGGCCATTGCCTAGACATCTCATTTTCCAATTGTGCCTTGATCATGCAAGATCAAGGAGCTGGATCAAATTCAAACTGGAACCTAAAAGTCACTTTCAAAAATCATTAGTGGGAGTAAAATTTTTTAAAAATTGTTCCAAGCAATGTTGTAAAAAATCATTTAATAAGATTTTAAAATTAAAAAATTTTATAATAATTTGCGACCAGAGGGAGAGTAAGGATAATTTACATTTAACAGTGCAATTTTCTAGTGAATATAAGGATCTGAATCTCCCGAACGGAGAAGGATGAGAACTCAAGACGTCAAAAAGTCACCAATTCCAATTTTTAAAAAAATTTTTATGTTTTAAATTGGATTATATCTGTGTTTTAAGGAACTATTTCATG